GTGTGTGTGTGTGTGTGTGTGTGTGTGTGTGTGTGTGTGTGTGTTCGTGGGTTTGTATATGTATATATAGATTACATACACAGATTTATTGTAAGAGATTGGGTCACGTGATTATGGAGGCAGGCACGTCCCAAGGTCTGCAAGGTGAGTGGGCAAGATGAGACCCAGAAGAGCCACTGGTGTAATCCTCGTCTGAAGGCCAGCAGGCTCAAGACCTAGGAAGAGCCAGTGGTTCAGTTTGAATCCAAGAGCAGGAAAAAGGCAATGTCTCAGTTTGAAGACAGTCAGGCAGGAAGAATTCTCTCCTACTTGAAGGAGGGTCAACCTTTCTGTTCTATTCAAAACATCAGCTGATTGGATAAGGCCCACGCACATAAGGGGGGGTACGATTTACTTTACCCTGTCTACTGATTTCAATGTTAATATCACCCCAAAACAACCTCACAGAATACCAAGTGTCTGGGCACCCTGAGCCCGGTCAAGTTGATACATAAAATTAACCGTCAGACCTGGTATGTGGGCAAGTCAGAGTGGTTGTTCCCAGCAGCATTTCTCAAGGACAAAGAGGTGATTTTCTTGTTCTAGCAATAGAGTCTACCTTTTACAAATATCTCACTGTAATAGGTCCACAGCAGAGTTTATGGTGTACAGAATAATAATCCTTTAATTACTCACTGGCACTCATGGCACTTATAAATCGCTGCTGGAATATGCACTATCTTATGTAATCCTTGTATTCCTCCAATGAAGGTATTCTTATCCCTACTTTATAGATATAAAAACCAAGGTTTATAGAAGTTGAGTAGTTTGCCCAAGTTCATACAGCATTACAAGATTGGAAACATGCAGTCTTGCTTCACAAACTATATTCTTAATCACGATGCTCTATCATAATTTTCATACATTATTTAATATTTTCATTAGTAATGAGGATTAAATGATACATAAGGCTTAGCTCAGTGTGTGATACACAATAAGATCTCAGCAAACCTTGTTATTAGTTGTTGTAATATTCAGTATACGTGTCTATGTTTTTCTGTATGAAATAGACTGAAAAAGTAAACATTTTTAGCAGGTAGGAAAACTAGAACTCAGACCCCAGTCTTTTGCTTCCGAGGCCCCAAACTCAGGGTTTTCCACTACAACACAGATGCAAAAAGAATATATATATATATTTTTTACCTCTGTGGTGTCTAAATGGTGAGTAGATATACTGTATCTCATGTTTTTCTTAAGTACTTTTTGTCACTGAGGCAAATGCTTAAATCACCATTTAATCCAGAGCATTCATTATAGAGTCTTGTTTACAAAAACGTTGTCATAAAAGAAATGGCTTGTTAATCTTCTACACATCACAGGTAGTGAATATGTGTCAACCCTTCCCAGGTGGGAAAAGGTAGTTAAGATGCAAGGACTTCACTTGCCAGGGATTGCCAGCAAGTCACATCATCAGGCTTACATTTCCCCGTACAGGCTGTATTAGCGTGCATATGAATCCTTCAGTGCTGTGTGAGGACTTATTTGTTTCAAGGCTGGTTTCTGTGTTGGTGAAGATTATGTCTGAGAGATGGACTGAAACAAAACCAGGCGCTGGACGGTTCTGCCTCCTGTTTACTACAGCTTTATTTGTTCTTTGCTTATAGAGCTATTGCTTCCCAATGACGGATGGGCTGAGAGCGGAGGACCTCCTCCTCCACCACATCCCGTTCTGGAATTGGGCCTTGAAGATTACAGCCACAGGTATCGATAAAATGATATACCATAGGGGCTTCCCTGGTGGTGCAGTGGTTGAGAGTCCGCCTGCCGATGCAGGGGACGCAGGTTCGTGCCCCGGTCCGGGAGGATCCCACATGCCGCGGAGCGGCTGCGCCTGTGAGCCATGGCCGCTGAGCCTGCGCGTCCGGAGCCTGTGCTCTGCAACGGGAGAGGCCACAACAGTGAGAGGCCCGCATATCGGGAAAAAAAAAAAAAAAGTGATATACCATAAATATTCCCCAGTATGGTTTTTATGGGAAAACCCAGCAACCTTATTGTAACTCTAGTTCTTTACAGGATGGAAATCTCATAGTATCTGTAATTCCTTTCCAGCGAAAACTTCTCATAGCTAATATTAATACCTCAGATTGTTCATTTTTGCTTCCTGGAATTTAAGATTCATCATATCTTATTAAGATATATGAGAAAATTGATGAATTTTCTTTTACCAAGTTAAAAACTAGAGAGGTGGAACTCAAAAAAAACCAGTTATATGGGAAGGTATGAAACAAAACTGAGAAGACATAAAGCTTTTTTTCTTTCTTATTTGCAGTTGGCAACCCTAAAGGTATTTTAAAAATAGATGTTCCAAGAAAGTTAATGGAATCTAAAAATTAAAACAGCACCATATATAATCTAAACTGTTGAAAAGAGCCCAATATTATATCCATTCTGTAATAGAAACCAAAAAATCAATATTTTTTTAGAATCACACGAGCATGAGAGAGAGAGATTTACTAACATACACACCATTTGACTAGTAGAATTCATAGATTTTGTTCTTCTGATGAGTTTTAAAAATCATTAACTTGTCCCTTTGCTATTTTCTGTATTTATTATGGCTGTTAAAAACTGGATATTTCATTCCATTCTTGTCCCATGATAATCCTGTGAAGTTTTTTCATTTTTCTTGCAGCAATGCTGTTTTCTTTCAAACATCACTATTATGGTTTTTGTTTTGTTTTGTTTTGTTTTTTACAATCTGCTAAAAATAAAGCAATACAACAAGAGTACAGCTAACTCTATTAGCCAGAAGCTTACCTATATTTACCTATCTCCGACTTCTACATTTTTGAAGTCAACTTTTTTACTCAAATACAGTTTCTTGAACCAGATTGATAATCACAATAATGTTCTAGATCAGTATCTCTGGGGGTTTCTTGAGCAAAAATCTGGACATTTTTAATTTTGCATGCTTATTTGCATTGCTTGCCTCAATCCTGAATCAAAAATGAGTTTGGTAGCATTAAAAAATCCATTTCAGGACTTGAGGACATGGGGAGGGGGAAGGGTAAGCTGGGACGAAATGAGAGAGTAGCATGGACTTATATATACACTACCAAATGTAAAATAGATGGCTAGTGGGAAGCAGCCACATAGCACAGGGAGATCAGCTCGGTGCTCTGTGACCACCTAGAGGGGTGGGATAGGGAGGGTGGGAGGGAGACGCAAGAGGGAGGAGATATGGGAATATATGTATATGTATAGCTGATTCACTTTGTTATACAGCAGAAACTAACACACCATTGAAAAGCAATTATACTCCAATAAAGATGTTAAAAAAATCCATTTTAAAAATAATTTCACTCATCCTACCTTACTGTTTACCCAGTGTATATGCACAGGCCTGCTGGAATAGTGCAGAGATAAATCAGATATAAACCTGTAGTATTGTATTCATAAGATAAATGTATTTGGCCTTAATCCCATTTCTGGCACTGACCCCTAAAAACCTTGGCATTTCCTCCGTATTGAGACTGATTAAGGTGTCATGTTATGTTAATGAAGGGGCTGGTTGCCAGTGGAGCCCGTCTTGTGCTTAGAGGGTTGGAACTTTCAGTCCCATCCAGAGAGATGGGCCTTGAATCAGTTGACAGTGGCCAGTGATTTAATCAATCCTGCCTCTGTAATGAAGCCTCCATAAGAACCCCAAAGGACAGGGTTTGGAGACCTTCTGGGTTGGTGAACATGTGGAGATGTGGGGAGAGGGGCACACTCAGAGAGAGCATAGAAGCTCGGAGCCTCTTCTCACATACTTTGCCCTGGGAAGCTCTACATACGGCGGTTCCTGGGTTATATTCTTTTAGAGTAAACCAGTGGTCTAGTAAGTAACATGTTTCTCTGAGTTCTGAGAGCCACTATCAAAAACTAATCGAACACAAGGAGGGGTCTAGGGCACCTCTGATTTATAGCCAGTTGGTCAGAAGTAGAGGTAACAACCCGGACTTGTGACTAGTGTCTGAAGTTCAAGAAGGGGTCTGTGGAACCTCCAATCTGTAGCCCATCAGTCTGAAGCACAGGTGACAACCTGAGCTTGAAACTGGCGTCTGAGGTGGAGTATGGGGGGCAGTCTTATAGGACTGAGCCCTCAACCTGTGGGATCTGATGCAATCTCCAGGTAGATAGTGTCAGAATTTAGTTGAGTTCTCCAAAACCCTGCTGCTGTCCTAGAATTATTGGAAGTATGGGAGAACTCCTCGCTCCCCACCCCCCAACACTTGTTAAAATTGGGTCCAAGAGCCCAAAAGGAAACCCTAGCCTCAAGACGATGGTAGGCTAATAGGTAAAAGTGACAAACGAGAACGCAGGGTACAAAGTGATATTTACCAGAAGACATAGATAAAACGCCCGGAGCTGCTGAGGCAGAGAAAGGAGAGTATTCCCAAGTACAGGAAGCAGGGAAAATGTTAGGGGGAAAAGTGATACTTGAGCTGAACCCTAAAATATGAATAGGAGCATGGACATGAAAAGAGCCCCAGAAGGAAGAGAATTTCAGAGAGAGGCAAAGGCAGAAGGAACAGATGGAGGTAGGAAAGTAAGTTGATTTGTGCAACTTCTATCGTGGCCGATTGGCCAGATGATCATGCCCAAAAAGCCTCAATCCTGAGGATTGAGGATTGAGGATAAGGAGATCAGACTTCATTTGGTAGATAGTAAAATCTTATTGTGGGAGTTCAGCAGATAAGATTGGGTTTTAGTTGTGTACAACAAGGATTATAATTTTTGTGACTTTCTGTTTGAATAAAACAAAAAAAAAAAAGAGCAAAAAAACCCCCAAGGATTAGGTAAATGGAGGAGAGTTAATATCTGGTAGAAGCCAGAGACTCTGTGGATACCTCCTGGGGCCATGGCAGTGAAACTTACTGAGGACCTGTGCTGGGGAGGTTGGGGAGAAACTTTCTCGGGTGGGAACCTTTCAGGGTCAGAGGTAGTTGAGAGATATTGCAGAGCTAGAATCATTGAGAATTACAACTGGCTTTTTGGCTGCTTCCGTGTTGCCACATATTTCTTCCCTTCCCTTTTCAGGAAAGCATGTTTCTCCACGATCTTGAAAAACAGCTTATATTGGCTCTCACTGCTGTAAATCTTCATCACATGATGTGAACCAGCAACTTCCTTTTCCCCCTCTCCCTCCCTAACTCGCTGTTTAGGCTTCCATTCTCACCCTTTTCTAGAACTGCTCTTTTTAACATTGACAGTAATCTCCTTTCAATCAAAAGTATAACTTTTTCTCAGTCTTAAGTCTTCTTTTGATCATTGTCATTCATGTGCTCACTCATCCATTCAAAATTATTTATGGAACTCTAAACTGGGCGCCGTAGAAGGTATTGGAATGGATTGGAAGCAACACTGCCCGCAAGGAATGCAGTGTCCCCTTGAAGAGACAGACACACAGATAATTAGCAAGCAGCCTGCTGAGCATGAGATACAAAATGTCATTGGAGCCTAGAAGAAAAAGCCACTAACTCTGTCTGTAGGTGTCAAGGAAGGTTTTTTACAGGAGAGGTAGTGTTTGAAAGGTTTCTTGAAGGATAGAAAGGAACTTACTAGGCAGAAAAGAGGTGGGAAGGGCAACTTAGGTTAGGAAAACCACATGATGGGAGAGGGAAAATGCAGTGTGTTCAACGTGGCTAAAACATATAGTATCTGGGGAAAGAATCTACAGGAAGGGCATTGTCTGCCATGCTCTGTGAGCGCCATGCTTCTCCAGAGAGCAGTAGAGAAGCATTGAAGGCTTTGAAGCCTGACCATATCATGTTAAGTGAGTTCACTTGTGGAGAATAAATGGCTAAGGGAAACCATAGACAAGGATACTAGTCTGGGACAACCAGCAAGAGAGGAGAGGGGCTTGAATGAAGGGAGGAACAGCATAGCTGGAGAGGAAGGGACAGAGTCAAAGGCATTTTTGGAATGGAAGGAACAAATCTAAAGCTTTGAATCAATCTCTCTCTCTCTCTCTCTCTCTCTCTCTCTCTCTCTCTCTCTCTCTCTCTCTCTCTCTCTCCCCCCCCCTCCCTCTCCTAGGGTCCTGTGACCTGCACCATCCTGCAAACTGCTGTGTTGCCTAGGTGACCAGCAGCAGTGGGGGTTTGCATGTTGGAAACTTACAGTGGAGGAAGCATTGGGAGGGAGCCAGGAGGGCTGAGCAAAAGAGGCTGTCCTGTCTTAAAAAAAAAAAAAGTTAAAAGCCCCCCTGAAAAGGAAAAGTAGTGCTTTTAAGGGATGGAACCAGTCGTGTGAAACAGAAAGCTACTAATTCATGAGAAGTGAAAAACAAATTTGATCAAACTAAACTTATGCCTGTACTTTGAACCAAAATGAAATCAGGAACCTACTGAACTTATTTGTACTATTATGTCAATAATTATTTGACAAACATTTAGAATATGAGTGTCTAAATTAAAAAATATATATTTAATATATTTCCTTTATATATATGATATAAGTATATATATTATATGCATATTATATATATAAAGGAAATGCAGTTTTTACTGTGATGTCTCAGGGAGAGTTTAAGACAAATCGCCAGCAGGCAGAATGTACTGAATTTGATTAGCTGTTCAGACAACATTTGGTTATTCCCTACATGTTCATATTTTCCCTCCCTCTTGGTTCTCTCTCAGTTCTGCTCTTTCCGTCTCTCTTTCTTTCATACGTGTGACCTGCATCTACTCTTATTCAGAGCAGCCAATCATTGAAGCTGATCCGTGGCCACCTGAGACTTCAGACATGCCCCTCAAAACCTTCCCCTGCCTTTTTATTTCAGACAGTTCTCCTTGAACATTCATGGGGGGTCTTCTATGTCTTTCCCATTCCTGATTTGTCACTATATTCAGGACATTGGCATATGTTTCACGCTACCCTTATTTATTCATTATGCAGCATAATTTGACATTGAATATCGTTTCTCTTTGATAGATTCCCTGGTTGTTCATGGGGGAAATACAGTCTTTATCTAAGACACGTCTTTGGCCTGCTGTCAACTTACAGCTTCCGCTGCAGCCCATTCAGCCATGAGCACATGCTAACTGCCTTCAAAATTAAAATATGCCATGTTTTATAGTTAATCATTGTGTCACCCTCTCACTCCAAAAACTTCCAATATGTAGCATAAAATTACAAACTGTTTTACTAGTCTAATGTATGTGTCTACGGTATTTTCACATTAACCAACTCAGTACTATACTCATTATTCAAGTACATTAGAAGTTCACATTGGCTCCAATCACATCGTGTCTCATATTACACTTCCTTCCTTCCTTAAATATCTGCCAATCTGATATCAGCCTTGTTTCCATTTTGTACCATGGCAAGAGGGGTCCTTTTATTGAAGGTTTTCAAAGTGTACACTTGGCCATGTTCGAAACAATGCTAACAGAGGTACATATCACCATGATTAATTTAATGGACATATCCAGGTATGCATATGTATATATACAGACACGTATATGAATATATGTTACATTCATATGTACAAAGCAGCTTTTTATTTTCTTTGATCATCTTTGATGGTGTCTCCACATCATGTTATTGCATTGTCATCTTGTTTTTTCAATGGGAATGGGGGTAATTGTTTCTCAAGAGTTTGGGAAAATTTGAGTTCTTGTTCTTACTTTGTCACGTAATGCCTGGTTTGGTAAAATATTCTAAAACAGTCAAGTGAGGATTTCCCTGGCGGTCCAGTGGTTAAGACTTTGCCTTCCATTGCAGAGGGTGTGGGTTCAATCCCTGGTCAGGGAGCTAAGATCCTACATGCCCCATGGCCAAAAAACCAAAACATAAAACAGAAGCAATATTGTAACAAATTCAATAAAGACCTTAAAAATGATCCACATCAAAAAAAAAAAAAAAGAAAAAAGAAACCAAGCTAATAAATAACTAAATAAAACAATAAAGTGGATTAACCAAAACATTACTGAGTTGGGTAGATTCCCATAGTCTGCCTTGAGCAGAGCACTTTAAATGCAGCGTGAGCTGGGTTTTTTTGTTTGTTTGTTTGTTTTGCGGTATGCGGGCCTCTCTCACTGCTGTGGCCTCTCCCGTTGCGGAGCACAGGCTCCGGACGCGCAGGCTCAGCGGCCATGGCTCACGGGCCCAGCCGCTACGCGGCATGTGGGATCTTCCCGGACCAGGGCACGAGCCCGCATCCCCTGCATCGGCAGGCGGACTCTCAACCACTGCGCCACCAGGGAAGCCCAGCGTGAGCTGTTTTAATGAGGAATATTCATGTTGGTTCTAAACCTCCTCCCTAAACGTATTCATTATAACGTGGCATCTATTTTGATTAACCCTTTAATTTTCTTTTATTTCATGATATGAACCACTGTTGAAACAAAAAACTAACCTAAAATGCAAGCTGCATGAGAGAGTGCGCATGAAACTGCAGTAAGAGGGAAAAGTCTGATTTCCGTGGGCTCAAGATCAGCAACAACCTGTGTCCCAGGCTAGCCACCATTTTAGCCAAAGCTTTTGCAGCTCTGGGAAGAGTTCAAGAAACCGCAGTCTGGTCCTGGCTTTGGCACTGGCCAGCTGTGTGACCTTGGAACATCAGTCTCCTCTTTGGGCCTCAGTGTCTTATCTACAAGATGAAGAGTTAGATGAGGTGACCTTTAAGGTCTTCCAGCTCTTAAATTCACTGGTTCCATGAAGGCCATGAGTCTCTCTGACACTAAAACCGTGTCATCACAAGAGATCAAAGGATGAAAACCTAAGTGCAAATAAAGGTTGAGTAACACATTTAAAGGCAAGTGCTTGCAAAACATCAGTGCTCAGGGGGAAGCTCATATTCACCATGGCATCTCAGAATTCTTCTTTAAAGTGGGCTAAAACAATTAAAATATTGCTATTATGCCAAGCCAGTGTCAACAGCACTAGCAGGTCAGGATTTTTGTTTACAATTGACATATTTGTCCACTACCACTAGATACCACATCTAATATGCCTTATGTCGGTAGCTTTCTTTATTGAGCATGTAACCAGACACCAAGAAAGAAGCCATAAAAAAGAAAGAAAGAAAGAAAAGAAAAACCTTCATAATTCTAAAGAGTTGATTTAAGCTTCTTGAGAAAATTTTCATGAAAAAATGTACAGTTGTCCCTCGGTATCTATGAGGAGTTTTTGTTCCAGGACCCCCGCGGATCCCGAAAGCTGCAGATGCTCAAGTCCGTGGTATAAAATGCTATAGTATTTGCATATAACATCCTCCCATATACTTCAAATCACTTAATACAATGTAGATGCTATGTAAATAGTTGCCAGGGCATGAAAAGTTCAAGTTTTGCTTTTTGGAACTTTCTGGAATTTTTTTTTCTGAATATTTTTGATCCCAGTTTGGGTGATCCTTGAATGCCGTACCTGAGGATACGGAGGGCAGATTGTATAATTTCTTTGCTGGAGAGTGCCTCAGGCCCTCATTCAAAGACCACCACGCTAACCTACAGAAACAAAGGAAAGGCTTAATAGCTTACTTTGTTGAGCTCTTACTGTGTGCTAGGTACTATTTATTGTCAGTATTTGACATATCTTAGTTTATTTCATACTTACAATAGCTTTCTTAAGTAAATTCTATTACTGTCCAATTTTAAAAAATTCTTTTCCATTATGGTTTATTACAGGCTATTGAATGTAGTACCCTGTGCTATACACTGTGTCCATTTTATGCACTAGTAAATTGAAGCCACCCACCCTAGCATCTCGCTTCCAAGCCCAGGGCCCTAAACATCATTCCTTCTAAACAGGAGTGAAGGGCTCTTAGTCACAAGCCCACAGAGAGTCTGACAAAAACAGAGAAGGCAAAAAAACTGTACAAAAAACTTGGATAAATTGAAAAGCAGAAACTTAGTCATTTGGGAAGCTAAAGAAGGTCTATGCGTTTATCTGTTTGTTTCCTAAATGTTTCTACAGCACTTACTCTGCACCAGACACTATTCTCCTTACTTTGCAAATCTTTGTAACTCATTTTATCTGATGCCAACCCTAGGAGGTAAGAAGTGTAATCATACCCATTTTATCCATAAGAAAATGGAAGCACAGAGAGGTTCAATAACTTGCCCAGTCCCACAGCTAGTAAGGAGCAGAGCCAGGATTTAGAAATGGGCAGACCTGCTCTGGAGTCTGTGCTTTTGAATGCTGTGCTGTATTATACTATATTACACTCTATTACAATAATAGAGGCCCATTCATTCAGCAATATTATTACTGCTGCAAGGCAATACTAAATATACATGACTAATAAGTTTCAAGAAAAGATTAAACTTATTTTGGTGTATTTGGTTAAGAAATCGAGATTCCCCAGTACGTTTTGTAAGGATTCTCATTCATGACAGTTGAATTTGGGGGTTATTTTATTTTTTACAATGTCAAATCCCAACCGTTTGAAAAAAATTCAATCTCAGTACTTTCAGATTTACCGAGGATACTTGATTTGAGTTTTTACTGTATTTAAGATTAAAGTTGTGTTGAAACGAGCTACCATATTTACTTTGTAAATACATGTACCAAGGGAGAGTACCAAGGGAGAAAGTGGCTGTAATTTAATTCATGAAAAGTATATAAATATAATTTATTTCTAGATCACGAAATGAGGCATTGTCTGTAATTCCCTTATATAATCTCCATCCTCAAGCAAAATAAATAAAATATTCCTCAGAAATGGAATTCTTTGAGATTACAAGTACTAGGAAGCCTATAATGGGCATTTGATGTATCTTTTGTCTAAATTGTCAGCTGTGCTTTTCCTGTTACTTCCTGTTGGTATTATTGATGAGCAGACTATTTGCTCAGCATTAACATTAGTTTTAGAAAATAGACCTAAATAAAGTAGAAAACCAAACTATGGCAGCCATTAGTCATTCAACAGAATGGTTTTCTAGAAAGGATACAACCCTTACACTTGTTTTTAAAGGAAGGGCGTTCTTAGCCCACAGATCTCTCTTAACCTGCCTTTAGGCTCTGCTAGTATCTAGTGACATCCTTTGAAGCACCAGTGCTTTGTGGGTTTGCTTTACCCACTTAAAGTTATATATTGTATAGCAGGATCCCAACTGGCAGAAATCAGTGAAGAGGAAAACATGGTATTAGCCAGAGAATATTATTTAAATTGCAGAATATGATAAAATGCATGAAAACAGAGTTGCTATATCTCGTAAAAGAAACCTGAGGTTCACGAAGTGGTTGAAAATGCCTGGTTGGGGCTTCCCTGGTGGCGCAGTGGTTGAGAGTCTGCCTGCCGGTGCAGGGGACGCGGGTTCGTGCCCCGGTCCGGGAAGATCCCACATGCCGCGGAGCGGCTGGGCCCGTGAGCCATGGCCGCTGAGCCTGCGCGTCCGGAGCCTGTGCTCTGCAATGGGAGAGGGAGCTGCAGAGGGAGCGATGAGGGGCTGTATTCAAAATGAGAACTGCTGAATAAAAAATAAGATTTTATTCTAAACCTAAATATGGCATATGGCATCTTTCTGCAGCTCTGGGGTGGATTCAGCAGTATTTTTTCCGGATCAGCGCCTCAACTTTAGATCTGTGACACCAGCCAGGCAGCCTGAATCAATGAATCTGAAAGCCTCAAAGAGCATGGACCTTGGTAAGTGAGGGTGAGGTGACATCCAGATCAACTGTCCAGCCTCAGCCCATCTGTCTTCTTGAATGTCCTGCCGTTGTTTCTTCAACTCCAACCTTAGGGGGCGGGGTTTGCTGAAGCTTGGAAGAGGGGATATTGGTCATCCTATCTTCCTGTCTTCTCTCACACATTTAATCGTAATTACCGCTTTTTAAAAGAGGGATAAGTGACATTTTTATGTATAGGTCAGAAAAATAGGAGTATTCCTTCTGGAGGATCTGAATGCCATTAAGCATCTTTAACTCACCTGCCTTTGCGTTTGTACTCTCACCTCTGCAAGTGTTCTTCTGTTTCTCATGTACATACCTGTTGCAGGGCCTGGGAAGATAAGGCAGTTCAATGAATCCTCTTCTACAGGGCATCCCATCTCTCTGTGCAATGGATGGAGATGGCGGCAGTGGAGAAGATCTATCTCTATAAGTGCCCATCTCCAAATCCTGTAATACCAGAGGGAAGAGGGGTCCCTGGGTTTTCCAGATTGAGGGAGTCAAGGTACTTTGGTTTCGTGCCCAGACAACCTCAGTGAGATTCTGAGTCCTACAAGGAATTTCTGGGTGACTGTTGGCTGCCAGGGCAGAGCAAGGGTCCCTCAAACTCTGTTCTCCAGACTCTGGAATGTGAGATCCCGGAAGACATCTCAGATACCCAAGCACATTGTTGCACTCCCATGGGTCCTTAGAGAGAGAGAACTATTGGAATAGGATGCTGGTGCAAAATAACTTCTCAGCAAAATATTCACTGCTTCCTGAATGCTCAGAGGCCAAGCTTTGCCAATGTCTTTTTTGTTTGTTTGTTTGTTTTCCGAAGCATATTACATATTTCATTAGTAGCACCAAGAAAATGGAATAATCAAAACTGCGTGTTCCATGAAACAATCTGATAAATAGTGCTTATCTGTTACTCATTTATAGGAGTTCAAAAAGATGTTCAGTCATGATGAGAAAAGAGAAGTTGATTCTATTTTCTATAAATTAACTAGATCGCTGGGATACATTTGCTCTAACCACTTATAGTAAGAGACTGACAGAAAGCCTTAATAAGGAAGCTGTCTCGAGCACTGGTCAAAAAGGGGTATTTTCTCAAGCGTGAACCTCTGACCAAAGGAATAATGTGAGACAGTGACACAGATTACTACTAATAATTTAAGGAGCAATTTGTTTTTATAGAGTGCTTGATAAATATTTCCTGTCCTGTCTTCCCAATTTCTCTGTAAAGAAGATGAATGGGTAAAAACTGCTCTTAATTTGGGATGAGAAATATATTATTCTTTTCCTCATTTAATTAAAAAAAAAATAAGTAGCCAGTAGTGCGGTTTTTAAAAGTCTCTGCAAAAGAAAAAAATAGCATCCATTTTAAGAAAGAAGAAAATTATATCAGTTCCATAAAAACAAAACCTAAGCCATGTCCAGAAACAGTTTTTCTGTTTACATTTTTTGTTACTGAAAATTTTGTTTCTGAGAAACGTTCTCGTTTAGAATGAAATAGCCCTTGCAAAATATGAATAGTTAGCAGTCACCCTTTGCATTTTATTGTACTTATAACATAAATGACAATAGTAATGTTTGTTCAATTTTACATAGGTGGGCAAAGGTCACGAGCTCTTGTCTTAAGGATACAGGTATCAAACAGTGGTTTAAATGCACCATACAGCACAAGCATTGGTATGTGCACCATACAGCACAAGTGGTAAAATGTGCTATAAAAGCATTTTGTAAGAAAAAATAGCCTCAAAAATAGCCTTTTGTAAAAGCATTTTGTAAGAAACTATCAAAGTTTGGTCCCTTCCAGGAAAAGCCAAATTAAAGCTAACAGTCTTTCAGAGGGCTCTGAGGTCAACATTCTAGGGCCATTCTGAACCCCTATTCTCAGAACAATTGAGTGAGCTCAATACGTATGTTGTTTTTTCTCAATGAATAAGCTCAGGCGATACCAGAATGGTAAACATTTGGAAGTGTCTTCCCTGTTTGATTAGATGAAAAAGATATTGCAAGTAGTTTAGTTTTCCATATATGGCACTGGGCCAACATAAGGAATGAATATATTTGATAAAAAGGTTGGTGACTGTGCTTAGAGGAATAATCCTCTCGGGGTCAAGATCCATTCTTCAAAAAGTTTAAAAAAATTGAGGTATTTAGGTTGAACAGCAAATTAGTGCTACTTGATTGTGTTTGACCTAGAAAAACAGCAATTTCATATGTTCAAAATGAAAAAGATAAACCTCCTATTTACTGCATAATTTATGTTGGATATTCCTCCTTTATAAAGCCTTTAAACTTCTTCAAAGGCTAATAAGCCTCATTGGTACCTTCTTTGTTTTTATTTGTTTCATTTTTGCTGCTGAGTCTAAGCTAGTATTTTCATTTGCATATTATGTTCAAATTATTTTAAAGGTGAGTGGGTTCCATTTATTTCTTTTCACTTATGTTTCCAAAGACAGACAGTTCTTATTGTGAAAAATAAAGACTTCTCATCCCCATCTCCTTCTTTTATTTCCGAGATACAAACATGATTTTAGTTTGCTATGTATATCCTTATAGAAAATTTTAGTTTGCTATGTATATCCTTATAGAAAGTACTCTACCTAATTGCCATTCCATCTGTGTACAGACATCTCTGTCACACGTTGTGTTTCTTTATACTAATTGTATAGTGTTATGTTATATGAATGAATCTTGATTTATTATTTACTTTTCCCCTTTTGATTAAATTTGGACTTAATTGAGAGTTTGTATCTTTTGGTTTGGATAAGGGGGTTTGGTGCATTTGTATTTCTTATTCTTTATTCTATGATTTGTTTATTCATATTCTTTGCCGAAAATGTTTCCATTTGTTAATTCTTTTTCATCTTTAGACTATTGTTATGTATGTTATAAATAACTTTTGCAATCTGTTATTTGTCTTCTTAGTTTGATTGTGATATCCTCTACTATAAAAAAGGCTTTAGTCTTATAGTCAAATATTTCCATCTTTTCCTTCATGACTGTTTGGTTTTATTTATCTCATTTATTTTCTTGCACATTTAAAGGCTTGGTGTTTTTTTTCCATGTTTAACAATAATTTTATTCATGGTTTATGAGGTGGAAAAATTTTTCTCCATGTAAATAGGCAAATTATTCATAACATTTACTGACTTTTATGTCCTTCCCCCATTAATTTGGAATGCAGTCACATTGAATACTAAATTCCCTTTCATACATAGGGTGATTTCTAGACATGCTATTCTATTGATACATTGGTCTGTCCCATGCCAGTATCACCCTGTTTCAATTGTCATCTGACTACACTGTATTTTGATAACTTATAGAGCTGTCTTCCTCTGTTTTTTCTTCTTTTGTAAAATTACTTTGGCCCTTCACATGCATTTATTCTCCCACATGAACTTGAGATCAGCTCATCAAAAATGAATTTAAAGATTAAAGAGGAATGCTTCTACCATGGGTGTGCCCATTAATTTATGATGTTTGCTCTTGGTTCCTGATAGAAATGTTTTGATCAATTTAAACAAGTTTCTTTGTGTTCCTAGCTTCTTGAAAAGTTTTTTTATTTGCTCACTTTGTTTAATCAGGAATGGATGTTGAATTTTATTAAGTGATTTTAAGGATCTATACAGGATGATCATGTGTATTTTGTTCTTTATTCTATTAATATAGTGAGTTATTTTAATAGATTCCCCAGTATTGAATCTTTGATTCTTTCTGAATGACTCTAAATTTTTCTGTGCATTTGAAGAAGGTAGAAATGAGTAACAACATTTATCTATGTGATCTAAAATGTAGGTGTAAGACTCTGATTATAATTTTACTCAGGGTCATTAATTCCTATATATCTAAAAGTTATAGATTTTTTGAGGCTATTCTGCCTCAGTATTTGTGGATACTTTTGCTGGCATGCATGTGGCCACATTTAAGTCAGATCAGAAATGATTAAAATGATGAATAAAGGGAATTTATTTTTAAATAATTAGATGTAACTATGCTTATTCAAAGGGGTTAGGGTGTCATTTTCTGGGTTTTCCAGAAAATCAATCTTTTCCGACTAATTGTAGACTTTCCTCTATTTATTTAAATTACCAGAATTACTATGTTCAGTCTGGATCCCTTTAATTTGTTCATAATTGAGCTTGTGTGGGTGTTGAGCTGGAAGCTCTCAGGAGCTGAGTAACACAGCTGCCTCTTTGGCCTTTGGCATAGGGTTTTCCCCCAAAGAGCTGACCTTGTTGGCAGTATGCCAGAGAGTCACATTCAAAGACTTTTTGATGAAGCACAAACATCTTCAATATCCAGGCCTGGTGTCTTATGACCCCCGAATGCTATTTAAGAATTAGTCTGAATTATTCAGGGAACAGCACTTCAGTATTTTGGCCCATTCCCTGACCTAATCTATAGCCCCATTCAAAGTTAAGTTTAAAACGCTATTTCCCGCAAGATGTTTTTCCTGAGAGTTTTCTCTCCTGTTTCAAATTGACCTCCTACTCCCATTTCAGAAGGGTGTTGTGTAACACAGTTAGAGGAAGGCTGAAGGCAGTGCAGATGGAAGATGCTGACCAGCTGTCCTGCCTCTGTTCAATGAGAGGAAATGAGCTTAAAGTGATGCATGAGGCATTGGGACGAAATTTTAGGAAGTTTCCTGACAATGAAGGTTGTTAACATTCCACGTCTCATAGTCTCTTAAAACTGTGTGTGTCTTGAATGACTATCCCTAAAATCAAGACGATAGATTGGTTTTCTTTCAAGATCTGTGATTCAGCAATTTATTATCTGCTAGTTGCTTGCTGAAATTTGTATTAAGATAGAAATGTTGGTAGGCATTCACAGTCGAAGTAAATTATAAATCTGATTTCTCATCTCAACAAAAGATTTGGGTCACATTTTGAATATAACCCTTTCATACACATCAGGCATTCCTCTCAGAAGGCAGTCAGATATCTCTAGTATCCAATGGAAGATGGGCATGAAAAAAGTTAA